AATCTCCTTCTAAACTTGCTGTTATGTTCTGCTGTTCCAAAGGTTCTGTTTTACTCACCAGAATTCCTTTTGATAAGGGGTTTTTGTAAAATGATACTGGAAGCCGCCAGGACCTTTTGTGAAATGAACGCGATATTTAACCAGCATGTTTATAGTCCGCTCCCCTATCACTCTTGCACAAATTTCTCAAGAGTCTGATCTTGGGTCTGCACCGTTTACCTACCGTAACTCCACTATGGGCCGTGCAGGTTAAGCTCCAGAATCGTAATCTGCATACCAGTGATCCTTTTGGTCAAATTTTGAATATGTGATTTCACCTCTACAGTGTGTCTTCGCTAAGTCATTCATCAGCAGCATCAGCGAAATAGGATACTAACAATAAGGGTTCGTTAATTAACGTTTGCTTTCATCCATGAAATTTACTATTTCCTATATCGTACGATATTATATCTCCGCGATTCTTGTCGACACCAATAATTTGTTTGGATTTTTTTTCAGTGATCTCTCAGGCAGTATATTATACAAGTGGACAGGATTCATTTCCCATGTGGAAAGTAGCCAGGGATTAGATCTCCCTATCCCTGCTGATTAGGAAACAAAATGGCTACTACTTCAGTAAAAAATCATGTCGACGAGCAAGAGCGTGATTCCGCTCCTGGACCATTAGGATGTGAGTTGATTAGTTTTATTTTACCATGTTCTTGCCTTTGGGTCACCTTAGAAGTTCCATATTCCAACTCAGATTGGTATTGTGAGTCTTTATCCCTCACATGATTATACCACGACTTCTTTCAGAATTTTTTTTTGTTTAAACTTGCAGTATTTTGATGGGTTCATATCTTTTCATGGTACTTATTTGAATGAAGTAGTGGCAGTGTCTATTCAAAGTATACATATAAGTATCAGAATGGATACGTTTAGGTAAATATGACGACTCTTTGACGGAGCTGCACATTCAACTTGTTGTCCCCGGAATCCGGGAAAAGTCTTTCATGAAGGCCTCAAATACTCAGGTTTTTCTGAAAAGTGACTGCACGTAGGTTTTAGTATCTTGATGTATACGTCCGTAATCTGTTTGTCTTTCCAGGAGCCTGAGCTGTCATATCGAAATAATCAAAGTCAATAAGAAAGTGAAGCCTCCGATGAAGACGGTTATTGATAGGCGATTTTATGAGGTATGATTCCATTTTTGTGTATTTCTCATCACTGTCCTCTTTTTAAACCTAGCTATTTATTGTGCTACATAACATTTGTGGGTGAATTTGGGCAAAATTTGGATCGAATGTCATATTTACTACTTTTCCTTATCCTTTTCTATAGACAGCGAGAGAAGTAATTTTTGGCGTCTTTATTGTATTTTTGTGTTGACAAAGTTGTTGGCAATTTAGAAAAGGAATGCTGTAAATGTTGCAGGTTGAGAAATTCCCTGGTGAAATATCTGATGTCTCCTTTCGATTGAAGAAGAACTGCTGCATTTTAATTATTCGTAAAAAGGTACCTCAGTCCTGGGCGAATTTCATGAGCCAGTCTGGTTTTTGAGAGTCTCAGTTCTGTGTAAATAATTTTTTATGAACATTAGTCTATGATTTTTTTGTAATCAATAGTTTATGTGCGCATTAAGTGAATATGCTCACTTTTGATATCATAACTTGTTTGATTTGTCATCAAAGCTCGAGTGTGCTGTGTCAAATCTGCTGTTGATTCTCTTCTTACAATATGTTCCTGTATCTCCATGTTCAAGTGCTTGGAATGTTGCTTGTTCCGTCGAATATGAACTTGTTTTTTGTTATAAATGATAATTCTTAGTTGCAAAGCTGTTTGTGTAGGGGATCAGCGAGAACAACCACAGCCAAAAGCTCTTCGATTTTAATGGTAAAACTATAGTGAACATCAAAAATCTTTTGCCTCTTATCGCTGTTACAGAGAAGCTTCATGTGCTTTTATGTGCAAATTGGCCCTCTATTAAGAGTCCAAAAATACTAATAACCAAATTTTGAATAAAATACCTAGCATGCTCCGAATGCATTCTACTTCGTAGTCGAATAAGTTGATGAATGCGTGCAGGCCTTTTACAATGGTTTGCGGGGGC